AGAGGAGAGTAAGGCCAAGGGCGAGAGGGAGAGAGAGAGAGAGAGAGCGGCATCGCCTCCCCCCAGGGAACGTTCACATGGGTGCGGTTCGTCCGCTCTCTCTCTCTCGACCAATTAGCCGCAACTCTCCCGCGGCACTTTTCCGCGTGCACGAGCTTGCGGCGCCGATGAACGGAAAAAAGCTCTCGCTGCGCGCAGTGCTAGGTATATAGAGCTTTGGACTCGGTGCGCGCTACGTAGAGAGAGGGCAAGGGTGCCGCAGACCGGCGCAAACACTTCTTCGCCGCCGCAACAAATCGGCCAAGACGAGCGCGATGGCCAAACTTCAAGCAACTTTCTTACTTCGTTATTCACTTAATTATCCCTTCTTCTACTGGCAACACGCTAACCAGACCCGATGGAGCTAGCCAGTTTTTATGCTGCCCGCATGATTTCGCTCTGATGCGCTGAGAATACGAGCAACGCTTTTCCAAAGTTATTTTCAATCGGTGCCGATGTTTGCGCGTGGCTCCGAAAAACAAGCGGAAAGATCGTTGAATAGGCCGCTGAGCGGTGAGCCTTTTCGGAGATCTTCAAATTTGCGCGAGTCCCGAACTCTGGTAATTGGTAATTTTTCGGGCGCGCGTGCTGTACATGTGCGATTCGGCGTACAGCGCGCGGCCGAACGCAACAAATTGAAAAACGCAATTCTCGCGGTGCAGTTGGCTCCGTCGAGCGGAAGGCATAAATATGAAAATGCGTCCAAACGCGCGGCGCGCCGCTCGAGCCCGTGTTAAATTATCATTGCACTCCAACCACAAAGGCTCCGTTAAATAAATTCACTTTTTTCCGCTTCCATTGCACGGCCAACATTCGTGCGCGTGAAACAGTAGGCGCGCTCCACGCGAAAATGCGGAAAATGTAAGGGATGGATAGGGAGCAAGAGAAACTCTCCCAGCCCGCGGGAAACAGCTAACGTACCACCCCATGGAAAGTGAGGGATCAACCTACGGAATAATGTGCGCTTTTAAAGGGCCTCGGGCAAATCACGATGTAGTCATCCTCGTAAACATTAGGATGTGACAATGACAAAAATCTTCGTTGCAATATATTACTACTATTTTTCGAATCCCTCAGTGAGCAAGTTTGGTTTTCAAACGCTACAAGCTAATGACACGTTTTATTTTTGTATAAACCTCGTCCAAGTAACCAATGCAATGCCATTCTACAAGTTATTGCATGTTGATTGCCCTGTAGAGTCGCTATAAAAGCGATATAAATGTTTTCCCCCGTCGCCCGACTCTTCTTTTAATACGCCAACGATCGCTTTTATGGTTTCAGTTCATGTCCTACAATGTCTAATTGTAATCTCCAAATTACCATCCAAACGCTATAGTAGCCATTTTTATACTGATACTTTTACGAAGTAACAAGACAAATTTATTTGCTAAGAATATTTATTTTCTTCTCATAAACTGCAGTCAATATTTTTGTTTAAATTGGATTTTCTTGAGCTTTTGCTGCAAATGAGCGAATGCAAATCCAAAGACTTGTGGATATTACGCTTGATAAACGGCTTAAGAGCGGCTAAAATCGGGTAAGCACCCAAAACAACTACTTATACATTTTTTCGTAATTTTACAAGTTCATGTTAAATAATCAACTTTTTTTCCGCTTTCGCATTTGCTTAATGTCCATGTGCGACGTCCGACGGTCCCTTACGTAGAAAGTCTCTGATATATTGGTGTCATTTATGTTTTTAACTTTTATTGTAAGTAATTTGTTTCTTCCTCAATTGTTTACTGTCTTAAAATATTCTAAAATATAACAAACTTTATAGTAGATTAAAAATTTATACATATATATTTCTTCAAATGTATCAATTTAATTAATGTAATTATACATATATTCAATATTAAGTCGTACGTAACAAATATTCTTATCTCGAAATGATTCCTGTTGTCGTTTTCTTATTTAATATTTTTTAACAACTAAACGTTTTTTTTTAATATTTACTACTTTAATTTTGAAAATGTTTGTTTCATCACTTCATCACAATACTATGGGCGCTCTCTGTCGTATATATCGAAAACTGCACAGCTTTCTCAGTCGATAAAAATGTCTCCTTGTTTTACTTCCTCATGCTGCCATCTATCTACTTACTATTATACAACAATATTAGGTATGAATTATAATTATTAAAAGTAATATCGCATCAAAACTTTATTATATTTATAGCAAACTGTTAGAATTATAAACTTCTTTTATACGTATATTATATCATACAAAAATTTAGAATTTAAAAATGTAATAAAATTATAATTATCTTTTATTTCAAGATGTATAATTAATAAAGAAACTAAAAATCTATGTATAATATTTTATGTAATGATAATTAGTAACAATATGTACTCGTTAACTCATGTATTATGAATATACATTGATGAATCTTCATGTATGAAGGAAACTAGAAGCAAAACATTCGATGTTTTTTACATATATTTTAATTATTTATTTTTGATTTGCTTTATTTATATCAAAATGCGAAATGAAAGAACATCTTCAATGAAAGCTTGTCAAAGAAAACGTTGAACACTAATAATATAATCTGTCTTAATTATTATTGTTCTTATTCTATAGAACCACGAAACACCCAAACAAACAATTAATTTTTCCATCTCGAAAGATAATTTGTTGCTCGGTATACGTCCGTTATGTCCGCTGTATGCAACACCCGCTGCTTCAAATTCTTGACTGTATATTAGAAACTTTCTACATATAAGAAACATCGGACATCGGACATTGGACACCAGACGCGGACAAATGCGTGAAAATGAATTAATTATCTAACATTAATTCGCAAAATAAAAACAGATCACGCATAAATTTTTGGTAAAATAATGACAAACAATTTATTTTTCAGTGTTCGTCTAACGTCCGATGTCTGATGGCTCTTACGTGGAAAGTTCTTTAATGTTTCGCTATTTATAGCTTTTAGCTACAGTGCAGTAGAACTCTATCTGATTGTGCTTTCCTGTCACTAGAACATCCAACATTATTATAGGACGAGTATCCCTATTATCGGCAGCATAATTAAGATGTCAATAATTAATTATCGTCAATTTATAAGCTGCACATAGTTTAGAAGCTTTCTACATAAGGAGCCATCGGACATTGGACAACGAATATCGAACTTGCACCGAAATTATCAATAGTTAAAAAACAAACAATTTGTTTGTTTTTTAACATATTGTGATTAATTGACAAACATGTTAATCAAAAGAGAACTTTTATTGTCATGTATAGTGTGATAGATTCTTATATCATCTCAATATATCTGAAATAATCGAATGTATGGAGTGTTTTAAAATTACTATACGAGCAATGATAACAAACATAGATTACTATATTAACATTATTAGCATAATAATATATCATTTGATTATCTTTTTTCATCATAGTATAATGTCTGACGGTCAATGTCCGACGTCCGATATCTCCCTTATGTATAGAAATTCAAAAAGACAATAAATAAAAGTAATGTCAAATAGTGTATTTAATGTGACAAACAGTGATAAAAAATATTTGATTAACTTTTTTCATCATGATATAAACGTCTGATGGCCGATATCCGATGTGTCCTTATGTAGAAATTCCCTCAATGGTCTTACGAAAAATCATATTCAATGTACCAATGCTCAGCACATTTTTATAATATTATCATAAAAATAGATTTGATATTTGTTATGCAACGAAACTAGATGCGCTCGGTAACCTCATTAAATCAGATTAAATTTATTACTTTGCTTATATATTACCGAGATTTATATTCAATCCAATTTAAAAGAATGTGCCGGATTCCAAGTTGGTATCGGCAATAGAAGCACACTATATATTAATTTATTACAAAAATAAAATGTAATATGTTATCATAAGTAATCAAGATCTCGACCATTACAATTTATAAGTCATTATTAATGAAGTGAATCGACGTTTCATATATGAATGGGAATTCTCTAATTTCGCATGTATATTGACATCGCACGAATAATTAACGCAATTAACGCTATGACTAGTAAATATGAAAGGATTTCCTTTCCTTCCAAAACGCGAGCGCTGTGTCTGCAAACGCGCCGCGCCCTCTGCGTCTTTTTCTAGAAGCTTCTGGATATTGAATTTTCGAACCGTACACACGACGACGCACCACATACACACATATATGTATTCAATAAATTTATTTAACGGTAGCGGTACAAAGTTTTTTATGTACTTAAATTATTTTATTAACAATATTTACGTTATAAATTTGTATAGAACGCTATACATACATATAAATGTTCCGCAGAAGATTCTGGATTAATACACCGGCGGCGCGCGCGTATCTTTCTGGAAACTGCTGAACAGATTTAGATATATTAATTGTTGACTAAATCAAATTTTAAATATAAAATATTATTTACACACATTTGTACAACATATTAATACATTATTCATTTAAAATTAATGAACTAAAAAATATTTTTTTAGTTCAACAACTAAACAAAAACAACAACTAAATGTTTTTTGTGTATTGCAATAATCCATCAATTATATCATAAATATCTAAATATATGTCGTTTTATTATGTATTAATAATATTGATACACATTTATAAAATCCACTATAATAACTTCTTTTGTTCAAGCCTTATAATAACAAAATTATAAATTATTAATTTTTATAATAAAATAATACATATGTTATTATAACTATATAGATCTTTTAATTCCATTTGTAAATTATTATTTATGAATTATAATAATGTGAATTAATAAATTTTTGTATTTTCTTACACTTCTAATATGTTTGAAACATATTTCTAGCATAAAAATATCGAAAGTAATAATTAGATTCACTATAGTTTCAAAAAGATTTGATAATACACATTTATTATATATGAACAAAAACAGATTGTTCTGGATACTTCTCTTGATTTTCTCGAAAGTTCAGCGCTCCGCGCATGCTCTTATATATACGGCAGCGCAACGGGTGAGATCCCACAGATATAAACAAACGTTCGAGGTAAAAGCATCTAACAATAAGCTATCTTAACTTCAAAGATATTTCGAAAAACTTCGTAAAGTGTACTGCAAAGAGTGTCTATACATAATCTATAAAATAATTTACAAGGAAATCAGTTAACAAGGTCAAACATGTCATTAATACCATTAATCTTTTCTGACTGGTGGGAAGATCTGGATAGACCACATCATCTACAGGATCAGGACTTTGGTCTGGGATTGCATCCAGAGCAGCTGATGACGCCTCAAAAGCTTAATTTACTTTATCTCCAGCCTCGAAGATCTAACTACATCAGACCTTGGACAGAACTTCTTCGTCAAGGAGACAGAGGTGTTTCTACAGTAGAAGCAGACAAAGATAAGTTCCAAGTCACTCTTGATGTACAGCAATTCAAGCCTGATGAAATTGATGTGAAAGTTGTTGATAAATATGTTGTTATCAACGCCAAACATAAAGAGAAACGTGATGAACATGGCTGGATATCTAGAGAATTTACAAGAAAGTACCTGATTCCAGAGCAATGTGATGTACAGCAAGTAGTATCAAAATTGTCATCGGATGGAATACTCACTATTATGGCACCAAGAAAAGAGACACCTAAATCAAAGAATGAAAAGGTTATTAAAATTGAACTAACTGGCAAACCTGTACTCAAAGAAAAGGAAGAAGAAAAGAAAATGGAAAAAAGCAAATAGTTTAGTTCATTATGTTTTTTTATAGATAATCATTCCACATTGTAGATTTTCACATTCTAATTTTCATTTATTAGAAATATTTTTATTTATGTATTTAAAGTTAAAGTTAGTAAATGTACAAATGTAACAAACGATTAATTTTGATAATATTATATGATAATATTGTAATAATAAATAATATTTATTTATACTATGTAGACTGAGCTTTTCTCAATTACAAAATTACTGCATTAGAATTGCTCATTTGTCATTAGAAAACAAACCAATGATGTACATTCAAATTGAATAATAAATAAAGAAAGTCTTAACTTCATTCTTCTGTGTTGTTATTAATTAAATCCATATTTGCAGATTAATTTTCGTTCTTAAGATAATTTGTGTCCATTTATATAATGTCTATTAAAAAAATTTATAAATTAAAATATTAAGATCTGTATAGACTAAAATTTTTTTTTAAGAATGACAAAAATACCGAACATTAAATTTAAAATAAATTTATGATCATAGTTAATTAAAAACATAAGATTATACAAGCACATTATTTGAAGATTATTAAGTTATTTAACTAATATATCATTTAACAATATAAATGACACTTGTCATATTGTAAAAAATATTGAGTCTAAAGGAACTACTTATTTAAAGACAAATTGTATATGAGTAAAATAGCTTAAGTAAATGTTTCAATAAAATTGAGATAGATTCTTTTATTTTCATAAAAAGCATTACTGCCTTATTAAAAGACGTAGAAAATTTCAATTTGAAAGAAATTTAATAAAAATTGTTATATCCTAGAATATTGATGAGTATTCCCATGCTATAGTCTTGGTTATTTGAAAAATAAGATATTTAAATTCTAATTAGAAATCTGCAAAATAATTAGAATTTATTATAAATATTTTGACTATGGTATCATTTTATTAACTAACCAAGTACCTCAACATCTTTTTGTTTTTTTTTTATTTTCAAGAACATTTTGATTTTCAAAAGATCTACTTGATTATTCAATGAACATAGATTAATGATATAGTTTATTTTCTGTGAACTAAATGAATTATTCTATAGTATATTTACGTAAATTTAACTAATATTTAATTTTTTCACATGCATCAAAAACAATAACAAAACACTATTAAAAGTATTTTTTTTGACAAGTAAAAATTTACAAAGGATAAGTTGAAACAAAATAATACAACTAGTAATAAATAATAATAAAACGAGACAAAATATATATAAAAAAATTTTATTTTTTCAACTTGCAAACACATCGCTAATACTACATTATATATTAATATTTTATATGCTACGTTAATTGAATCATACACTCTCATCAATAAATATCACAATAATAATGACAATGAAAAGTAATTATAATGAGGTACAGAGTTTTCTAAAGTCTGTTTAGTGTAACAAAACAAGTGACAACATTTTATGACTCATCTTGGATAAATAATAATAATAATAAATAAAAGAAAAAGAAAAGAATAGGATGACAATTTATTGACTCTGGGCAACTTTTTGGTTTTCTATTTGTTCTTGTTTGTCATCTTGTTTTTGGTTTTCCAATGCAGGCTTGCTTAATTTTTCAATTTTCAAGACTCTTTCTCGCTTATGCTCAATAGCCTCTGGCTTTCGAGGAGCAGTAATAGTAAGTATTCCATCTGGCGATAACATACTTTCTGCTTTGTCAGGATCACACTGTTCAGGAACCATATACTTTCTTACGAAATGCCTTGAGATTATACCATGGTCATCTTGTTTTTCTTCATGTTTACCTAAAAAAGAACAATAAGAATTCAGATTATTACAAATAATTTCATCACTTATATTTGAATTAGAGATAACAATAAAAAGCTTGTGAACAGAAAATAATGGATCATCTAAAATCTAAAATGAATATATTTATAACATTTAACGATAACATTTAATTTATAGTTCAATATAGATAAAACAAGCCTTATTTTCTCTATTAAACTGAAGTTTCCCAAGAAATTAAACAGAACTTAAGCTCTTGTTTAAGAACATATCTTATAACAATTAATTTTCAGTTTAAAAATTTAAGACTACAATTACAACATCTTACCTTCAACCACAATGAAGTTGTCAATTACTTTTACATTGATTTCCTCTGGTTTGAACTGTTGCACGTCAAGAGCTACGTGAAACTTATCTTTATCGTCTTTGATTACGGAGAAGCCCTTTTCCCACTCCTTTTCCATATCCTGCACTTCTCTCATGAACTCAGCCCAAGGCCGGTAGTAGGGCGATCTCCTGTTATAAAAACCATCAAAGAGTGATGGGCCAAAAAGAGACTGCGGCTGCATGGCCATCCCAAAACGTTGATCAAAAAGCCGATGTGGTCGCTCCATTTGTTCCCACATTTGTGAGACCAGTTTCGGAATAATTCCCATTCTTCTTGACATTTTCGATGAATGAAATAAAACTTTGCGAAATTGTATGAAAATTCACGTAATTCGCTTCAAAACACTGTCGTTCAAGTGCAATTCTCTCGCTGTGACTGAAGGCGCACGATCAACCGGCCGGCTTTTATACACAAGTAAACGCACTCTATACGTTTCGAGTTACTCCGCGATGTTTCCAGAATGATCTTTTTTTGTCTATCCTATATACATATATGTTATCAATTATAAAATATCAATTTAAACTTGTATTTAGTTTTACTTTTTTGTATTTTTTGTTTTTAGTGACCTTTTTTTAAATCAAGTATCTGATGTATATAGCGAGTTGCATAAGCGTACATTGGCTTATACTATTTTTACTTTAATTGCATACGGTATTTTTCTTATTATGAATGATATATTTTAATGACATAAGACAATTGTGTGACAAAGTATATAGTGACCATCAAATCGATAAACCTTTGTGTACAACATATGTTTTTATATAGTTTCCAACAAAAATTCAAATTAAAAATTACGTACTCGAAAGATTAAGTTTCCAGAACAAGTTCAAATAATTTTAATTTAAACAGCATTCCCAAATACAAATATTTTCGATAAAAATTAGGTATGTTTATTTATTAATATACTGCAATTAAAACCATAATATTAAGAAATGCTCTATTAAATATAACTCTGCCTACTATGTGTGTACGAATTAATTCACATTCCATGAAGTTCAAAACTCGAATTATTTTTGACGATTAGCACCGATAACATCAAATAAGTTGAAATAATTCGGATTTGGAACTTCGCGGGTCATGAATTAATGTCCAATGCGTATGTAGTGTTCGCAACTTTAACTAAATTCATAATTATACGTACAATTATATATTTTCTGCAATAAGGAATGCAAAATTTTCTATAATTTTTTTCCAGATTCTTAACAATGGTGGGATTATTTATTATATATAATCGGACAACGGACACGGTACACGTCTGATGACTGCGATATCCAACGTCCGACGTCTTCTTGCGTACAAAATTCTAATATTCCTTATAACCGCAGAATCTATGATCGCATTTTTATAAAAATCAGAGTTATAGACTTTTATTAGAGTACATGCAGTATAAAGATATTATATAATTTATTTTTTAATAATTATATCATAATTTAATAGGAATCAATATTTTAATAAGACTTTTCTAGATGGATCGTTACACAGCTCGACGTATCCACGCACTCAAATTTAATCAGACTCATGACATTTATATAAACATTTAAAAATAAGATGAATTTTTAGTATGAATACCTGTAAGAAATCAATATTTTTAATTCAAAAAAAATATTCTTTGAAAAATAACAATGCCGATTTATGATACGTCTATAATGTATATTTCATATTATAACTAGAAGTAAATTTAACGTAATCAAACCTAAAAAATTTTAGATTTTTACAATATCTCTTTCAATCCTTTGAATCGTAAAACTAACACAAAATGTAAGTGATGCAATTCTACCTAAAAAATATCACGTTATGAATTAACGATTTATTTTTCGGGATGACGAATCACACAATAATTAAATCACCTAAAATATATAAATTCAAAGTATAATATCTCAACAAAGTTGTTTTCCGTGTGAAGTGAAGAGTATGCAATATATATCACTTGATCTTATTTTATAATAATAATAATAATAATAATAATAATAATAATAGTAATAAAGATAATCATCACCGTAATATACAGATCAATATACTGTGATTATATATTTATTTCACTGAAATAACCCAATGTACCATAAATATGAAAAAGCGCACCATTCATTTAATGGAAAACGTTGTCTAAACGTTGAACTCGATAAAAGGGAAAGAGCATGCTACTTATGTACCTACATAAATAGTATTAGAACAAGTTTATTGCTCTGAATTGGAGGAAAGGTGTGAATCTGATGCAAGTTAGCGTTCGAAAGCATACCGGGAGTCGTTTGTCAATAGGTCGGATACGTATGTATGTACGTGGCGCTTCTGGAAAGCTCCCCGTCACTCGTCGCGTATTTTCTCGACTCGATTCAGCCGACACAACTCCCCTCTACAGTCCGCGAATCACGGTTAGTCGTGGTTGTGGGTTACCTCGCCGACAATATATAAACGGCAGCGCGGGAGTAAGACGCCAGTTTCAAGCGCATTTCGAATCATATTACCAAGTAACGCTCTACGTGCCGTTTCTTACTAAGCAACGATTGTCAGCATTTGCTGTACATATAGTAAATATCTAATAACTATATTGACTCGGACGGTCAATTGTAAAAGAGAGTAATAGTGATCGAAAGTACGAGAAATATGGTTTCGCCTCTATTGCCACTATTGTTGTCGGCAGCCTACATGGGAGATGTGCATCCCAGCCGGCCGACAAGCCGACTGCTAGATCAGGACTTTGGTCTTGGCCTGCAACCTGAGCAGCTCGTCTTCTCTCGCTACGGTTACTACATACCTCGCGAGCGTTTGCTCGATATTTACTTTCGTCCATGGGCTGACCTGCTGCGCCCGGAAAACGGCGGTGGTATTTCCAGCATCAGCCTCGACAAAGACCAATTCAAGGTGATCCTCGATGTGCAGCAGTTCAAGCCCGAAGAGATCGAGGTGCAAATCGTCGACAAGTTCATCGTCGTCACGGCTAAGCACGAAGAAAAGAAGGACGAGCATGGCTTGATCTCCAGGCAGTTTGTGCGCAGATACGAAATCCCCGAGAACGTTGATCCCAAAAACATCACTTCCAACATTTCGACTGACGGTGTACTTACCATCGAAGCGCCCGTGAAAGAAATGTCCGAGGGCAAGAACGTCCGCAAAGTCAAAATAGAGTTCACTGGTAAGCCTGCGCTCAAACACACCGAAGATACTACAACCTCTACGACCACCGAATCGACTGCAGGCCAGTCGACAACTCAATCTTCAAGTCCAAAATCGGAGTAAATAACTTTTAACTCCACCATTTGCCTATTCCAAAGCATTTATTAATTCATTTCATACTCTGACTGATGTTATTAAATTTTTTCTTGAATGAATGCCAATTACAATGTATACGTCGAACTTCGTTTGAGTGATGATCAATAAGTTATTTGAGTATAACTCAATACTAATTTTAATATGTTTACGTGAGGATATTTTGGGAGCTTTTCTATATCTTATAAGTAATTGAACTTTTGTGCCACACTGTTTTTCTTAGTAATACAAGAGTGTAACGTTATAGCAAATAACTTATTAAAGATTAGAAATTAGTCACTTCTTTTCAAAAAATTTTGTATTGTAAATTTGTAGTATATTAATAAAACTATTTATATTATAAAATCAACTAAATTATTCATTAACATATAACCTATCTACCATTTACTTTACTTCTGAAATCACACCGAATACTTTTTACAATAAAAAAAAATTATTTTTAACAATTCTTTCCTTTTTCTTCTTTGTCATACCATTTTTTAATGTTTTTATTATCACAATAAGTTCCATGCATAAATTGTTTTTTTTGTTCACAAGTTATATCAGTCTTAATTTTCGCTACTTCATATATTTAATTCTCAACATTAATAATCATTGACGTTACTTTGAAAAATGTAACAGCTACCCGTCATATTTATATAGGTACAACTTTTAATTAATATTTTTTTAATTTTAATTACATAAAACATATCTAAATTTAATTCGTGTATGTGTGATTTATCCCGATCGTCTCTCCTTTTATTTCGTCCTCTTTCTCTTTGATTTTAACATCATCTTATTCTTTCTTTTTTCTTTGTTAAAATGGCCATAGGTCTTCCTAGGTGAGACGCAACATGCCTAAATCAAACGTATAGAAGTTAAGTGATCGAGACCATTGGCAGGGTTCCGATTGAGGTTGGTGCGCAGTTGCAACATAGAGCTTCTGCGCAACGCATACACCAAACTTCAATTCAATTCGACCCCATGAACATCGGAAGGGGTCGGATATATATTTGTATTAAAGTTCAGTGTATGTATGTTGCGTAGTAGGTTTTATATAGATTGTAAACGTCACTTTCAAAGTAATATGACAATTTTGTTGTCATAAATTTCTTGCATTAAAAAAGACGTTAGTGATAAATTACTAATTTAAATGTAATTATTCATAAATTATCATTAGCCTTGTATCTAAATTACTTTAATTTGTTAACACAAGTTTATAATAAATATAGCAAAAGCAAGCTTAAAAACTGTACTGATTTAGACTGTAAGGTTCGTTTCTATACCGATTCTACGCGACTGGACAGAGTGTATTAAAACAAATTTTTTTACTTTTATTTATTTTATAACATTAATTTCAACATACAAATAATTGTGAGTATTATGACGGAATTCATGACAATCACAATGCGTCAAAATAACTACATCAATGCGCATGTCCTCGTACTCCAACAAGGGGATCGAGAGAGTACTTCACATTTCTCAATTGTTCGCATCAGTTTGAGTTTGCCCGTTGCCGGCCGGCATTTTAAACAAAGAACTGCAGGAACAGAAAGTTGAACGCGTACACGGTCATACTCGATCAACTTCGCTTTTGCTAAAGAGCATATTGCAACACCTTCCATTTCTGTGCTGTTATTAAAAAGTCGACATATTTTACGCAAAGAAATAGATATTTTCTCTTCTTATTTAATTCATATAAAGATAAAAGAAGTCTCCGAAAAAAATGTCGCTGTTGCCAATGCTCTTCTCCAACTGGTGGGAAGATCTGGATGAGCCGCATCATGTCCGTGACCAACACTTTGGAATGGGTGTACACCCAGAACATCTAATAACGGACATTTTCGAGCCAAGACCTATGCACCATCACCATCGGGTGACTCGACCTCACTATTATCGTCCTTGGGGGGCTGAGCTACTTCGTCGCAACAACGCTGGAGGAGTGTCCACGGTCAATTCCGTAAAAGACAACTTCCAAGTAGTTCTTGATGTCCAGCAATTCGCTCCTAAAGAAATCAGCGTCAAGGTCAGATTTAGTCAGAATGAAGCCATTTTCGCTTTGTGATTTTCTTTGTTTGAATCCGTGTGCACTCGTCTTGTTTGAAAGATTTATACGATAAAATTTAAATATAGATAAATCCACGGAAGACTAACATACACATACATTTCATTAACAGAGATTGTTTACTCATTTTGTATTGAGTTTTAATTTATTGATAATTTTCATTTTTGTTTGTTGTATTCGCAAAACTTGCAAAAATTCTATACCATAAGGATTACTTAAATTGCTGTCAAACTTAAATCTCAATTATTAAATTAATTACTTTTTTAATTAAATAGCATTGACTATATATGTTCAATGAGATTATATAAAAAATAATCAAAGAAGTTTTGATAAATTAAAGTTATCAAAACTTTTGTATAAATTTAAAAGCATATTTATTTTTACAGGTTGTTGACAACTATGTTGTTGTTGAAGGAAATCATGATGAAAAAAAGGATGAGCATGGCTGGATTTCTAGAAAATTCACTCGTAGATACTTGATTCCAGAGCAGTGTAATTTGGAAAATGTGGAATCCAAACTGTCTTCGGATGGAATTCTGACCATCAGTGTTCCTCGTAAAGAACCACCGAAAGTTGAAGGAGAGCGAGTGATAAGCATTCAACAAACAGGCAAACCAGCAATCCAAGAAAAGTCAGAAGAAAAGAATCCAGTTGAAGAAAAGAAGTAATTGAAAAATAGAACAGTGGTTCTTGCATTTATCCTAAAGCATTTATTCTAAAGCATTTTTCTAAGTTACATATTAAACTTTGATGTTTAAAAATAGTATTTCTTAGCTTTAACAACTATCAATTGTATACACATATAGTTTTGAGCATATAAAATTTAATTGAATTCTTTAAGTCTTACCAACTAAAAGTCAAGTACTGGGTGAAACTCAAATACTTATAAAAATGTAACTTGATTAATAAAGAGTTCCTTTTTTAATTTTGTGATGAATGATTTTTTATACCTAATACCTACATATACAAATAATAAAATGAAACCCAAATATTTCATAACAAATTATATCATAAACTTTCAATTCAAAATATACTTTTTTAATTTAATTAGACAAATCTGAGTATTAAACTCTTCTTATTTCACATATATAAACAAATGTTTTCGATTATTTAATTCAAATTTATGATTAAGTTAAAAAAAGAGATCATTTTTTAATTTACCGAACAATCTGATTGACTATTTAAAAAAAAAAGAAATACTAAATTAGCATAATTAAACTTTATTATATTTAATCGATGAACGATTTATTTCTTTTGTTGCCGATTTCGAAAAGGCGAATCTGAATTTTTTTTAATGTATGCTAAGCAAATCTCCAGAACAGTTAATCCAGTTTGAATATGTAATTGCAAAGAATTTTCAAATCTACTATTTTTTTTAAATTAAACTTGTCTATGCAAGTAATTCGGTAATATTTCTAGAAGCTACGACAGTAGTAACAACTCGAATTTGCTAGCCAATTCTAGAAAATTCTCCATGTTTGCTGCCACCAATGGCGTCAATGTTAAGCGCCTTTCTCCCCCTCCCTTTTAAGAAGTCTATATATACATCCAGCGGCACGTCTGCTCCTTCAGTTTGTTAAAATCAATCGTTGAACAAAACGTATCTTAATTCAACTTGATCTTGTATCTTCTATTTATATCGCGAATAGCTAGGAAGTTCGTGATTATTTCATACTTACTAGACTGTGATTTTTAGCTGCGACAGTTGATGTTCATTTACAGTCTCGCAAAAGATCTCTAATAAATATAATTTGTATAATAAAATCTTTCGATCACGTATTTATTCGCACAGTAACAAAGTAGGAAGAATACAGTTTGGGAAATACAAATTAGATTAAATGTAAGTATCAATTAAAGATAAAGATAATTAAACTATGTACACAAAATTAAATTAAATTATGTATACAGTACCTTTATTGAATATTTCTCATGAAAGTTATAGAAAAATATATTATTCCTTGTTGAAAAAAATATTAATTTATTAAGTCATATATCAATCAATTAAGAACATTTATTTTATAATTTTAACTTAGCATTTTTATTCTAAATTTTTCATCCTGCAACTGTCTTAAAAAAATTTGTATGCAAAATAGTTTATAGTTATATAAGTATTACAATATATTTGAATAGCCATTATATTTTTTATAGAGATAATCGAAATGTCTCTGGTACCACTTCTATTCTCTGACTGGTGGAATGATTTGGATCGTCCTCACAGTTTGTTTGACCAACACTTTGGCTTATCACTAGATCCTAAAAATGTAATTAGCCCATCAAGATCTGAATTAGTGCTGTACAAACCTAACAGATTACGTCTTGGATCACGTTTCCATCCTTACAATCTTTTGAAAAGAAATCGAGGATCTTCTACTTTAACACCTGACAAAGATAAATTTCTAGTTACCTTGGATGTGCAACAGTTCCATCCTGAAGAAATCAGTGTTAAAATAGTAGATGACAATGTAATAGTCGAAGGCAAACATCAAGAGAAAGAAGATGAACATGGATGGATCTCTAGACAATTTACTAGAAAATATCAAATACCTAGCCAATGTAATATTGAACAAGTTGAATCGCACTTATCTTCAGATGGAGTGTTGACTATCACTGCGCCAAAAAAAGAACTTCCCAAGTCCAATTCTAATGAAAAAACCATTAAAATACAGTTAACTGGACAACCTGCTCTTCTTCCATCTAGAGCTTCTACGGCAGAAGAATCTAACTCCATAGAACCTGGTCAGCGTGGCAAAAAACCTGCTGTGAAAGCTGCTTAAATAATACTTAATATATAAGTGTTCATCAATTCCTCTTTTTACTTAAAGTAATTAGTACAAAGCTTTTTCTGTACCTAGAAGATATAAATGTGTGCAGTATCATATTCTTATCAGACTTTATAAGTCTATATTATTTTTTAATTTATTTTGCATTTGTAGATAATCTGTTCAACTATATATATATATTGATTTCATAACTCAAAAGTAAATTGCTAATTGTTAGTCATAATTTTAGTTAACAGAATCTATCTTAATGAATTCAATATCTATTATAATGAAGACTTAACTTATAAGTTTTTTATTACTATAACATTCTATAAGCATTAAATAGATGTAATTTATAAAAGTGAAAAATAAAATTTTGTAAAAAAATTTATTTGTTGTTTGAATTCCTTTCATTTAAATTTTTATGTACTCAAGTTTTTCAAATTCATATCTTATATATTGTTTGATATTAACATTGAATTTTTGAAAAATATTTTTGCATCTTATTGATTTAAATGATTACCTTGGTACAATTAAATAATATAATGATCAATACAAAAAACACATTTTTGTGAGTAACAATTTTGTTTGATTATACGAGAAAATGTAGTAACACTTAAAGTTTGTTTAAAAACTTATCACAACAATAAAAATTATCTATTCAATAAATTATGTATCTATAATAATACTGTCAGTTTGTTCATATTAATTGCAAATTATTGAAATGAATCGGTTAAAACTTAACTACATGACTACATCTGTTATAATACTTCTACTTAAAATGTATACATACAGAAAATATTTCTATACTGCTTATGTTATTGACAGTATTTACAGATTGATTGCAATTATAATAAATTTAAATTGACTCTATAAAACGCTAATAAGCGCGTATAATTTATTATATCTAGACAAATAATTATTTGTATGTAAATATAATATACAATAAAATGTATAATATGTAGAGTAAATATATATAATGGAACAACTAAAATAAAATTCTCGAGACCTAAGCGTCTAATAATTAAAATACATTGGGAGAAACAATCATGTAATATGATTTATCTCTAAAAAAGCAGCGGAATTTTTTTTGATGAAACATCATACTCGGCCGGCCGGTTCGATACAATGCAACGCCATGTAATAACCATAGCTTAAAATGTGTATTATGCATGTATGTACATACAAACAACCTATATATTTTACATACTAGGATAATATGTAAATATAGATGCCACCCTATGACTTGTATACACACGAAACCTATATAAGCCAGTGATTCTTTTCTGTATGTGAACCTTGTCGAAAATTCTCACAGGTTCTCATGCACAGCCCCAGCTGCGATATAGTTCTTGAATAATATAAGGAATAGATGTTTTATTTTTGATAATATACCTTTCGGAGAGCAGTGTCACATTTTTTTAACATATATATACAAAGAAAACAGATTTGATTTCTGTGCTTTAACAATAAAACGAATGTGGATCTATGTTTATTGAAAAAATTATCAAGAACATAAATTTTCAATAAATATAATACAAAGATTTAGATATTGACAATTTTTATTCAATAATAAAAAGAAAATAGCATAAATATGTATAAAACTGGTCAAAAGAATTGTCGTAACTAATTAAAAACAGTATTATTTCAATGCGATGTTAATATTACAATTATAACTCCATTGCACCTAATATTTTATACACACATAATAAAAATATTTCTATCCAAATATATTTTATATATTTATATGTTGATATAATTTTTTTTAAATAGTTATAAGCTTGGGGTGTGGTTAAAGTATCTTATCATCCACAAATAAAAACAAGAGAAAGAATATTCGAAATATTTCGAGTAAATGTAAAGAAAAATAATAAATAAAAAAGTTAATTAAAGTGTATATAATTAAAATTTTCGCACGATACATGTATATGCATAATGAACACTATCAAAAATCAAAAACTGATAATACTAATATCAAGTATTTCTTTGTTTCCAATGTAAACAGGGGCGGACATGATTTTCGGTTGTTACCGTCCCCACATGATCGCGAAATTCGTTGATAAACGTCAAGAAACGTTTTTGATTTTTACAAATATTCGTAATAGCCTGTAATAGCTAATAAAATGATAATATTTTACAATTAAATACATCACGTGATCATTAAAAACTGTAAGTGAAGACTATTGTAAAGGAAATTCGCGAATTCTAAAGATATTTCTAGTAGTATAGACTAACGAAAGCGAAACCGGTAGAGTGTTCTGGAAGCCAGCCGGCGTTCGGGTATAAATACAACCGTCGCGCGGTGCTTAGCAACAGTTGGATTTTAGCAGTCGAAGTGACTACGTCTAAAGCTGTGAGCAACTTTGTCTTCTTTCTTTAAAAAGAATTGGTGTATTTGTGAAGTAAGATTTTTTATTACTGATTTTTTCATTACATAATCATTTTCTAATTCAGTTTTCATTGTTTTCATTACTTAAATACAAAATAAATTTCATTGTGATTTGCGACATATAATTAATTCTGAATTTTAATAACAATTTCCGATAATTCAGTGCAATTTGGATGATAGTACCAACTATTTTTATTTTTAATTTGATTTTCCAAGTAATCCACTTCTACATTTTATATTTTGCATTGTATTTCTTGTTTTACATTGCTTTTTATATATTGTCCAATCAAAAAGTTAATGTTTCAGTTTCTAAATGCTCAATGTTCAATTTTTCAATTTAAAAAAATAAGATTTTCATTTTTATGCATTTTTTATGCTTTTATGCTTATCATTTTTGAAGATATATTCTTGACTTTTATAAACAATAGTGAAATAAACAATTTCTTATTTTCTTTTACAGTTGAGTACATCTGAATAATCATGTCTCTTGTACCACTTTTGTTCTCTGACTGGTGGAATGACCTGGAGCGCCCACATCGTCTTGTTGACCAGAACTTTGGTCATGGATTAACTCATGATCAACTTATTCCATCTCACTTTTTGGAGTCCTATGCTCATCCTTCATTACATCCCTTGTGTAGACGCAATCCAATGACCTATTACAGACCATGGGGTGAACTCATGCGTCAAATGGAAGGTGGTGGCACTTCTACAGTCAAAGCTGACAAAGATAAGTTTCAAGTGGTTCTTGATGTCCAACAATTCAAACCAGAAGAAATCAATGTGAAAGTTGTCGACAAGTATGTTATTGTTGAAGGTATGATACATTTTTATTTAATAGGAATTTTCTAGTCATTTTTTATAGTTTTAATAATTTTCTCGCATAAGAATCTAGAAATCTAATTACTTTGGTACAATAATGTTAATAATTATATAAAATATTAGGAATATTATTGGTTAGCTCTGTTATAAATTAGTATTTTAGCTTGAATTGAACTCTGTTAATAATAGAATAAAATTACATTTCACTGAAATTCTGTGATTTATTTGGGTATGTTGAAATATTCTAAATAACTTTATAATTTACAGGTAAGCATGAAGAAAAGCAGGATGAACATGGATCCATCTCTCGTCATTTTGTTCGTAAATATCTGATACCAGAACAATGCAACCTCGATCAAGTTACCTCTAGTCTTTCATCTGATGGTGTTCTTAGCATTACTGCTCCTCGTAAAGAACAGTCTAAAACTACAAATGAAAAGGTTGTGAAGATTGAACATACTGGTAAACCTGCTATTAAGGAGTCTGTTGAGAAGAAGGTTGAGAAGAAAGATGATAAGAAATAAAAAAAAAACATTTCTAAATATTTTAAGTTAAGTTTGAGTCATTACTTAAGTATTTTTAATTTAAACTCATTTTCTCACCAATGTTCCTTTTTATTTCATTCACTTCTGCTAAATCGTTTATCAAGACTGTACACTAATGTTAATTAAAACCTTGTATTAGTCTTTGTAATAAAAAAAAATAAAATTTCGTTGAACGAAAATCTCGCCTTCACAGTTGTTCAATTTCATCATACTAAAATAATCGATTACTTCAAAATTCAATTTAATAATACATATACTGATAGCACAGATAATAACATAAAGTTGGTAAATTTGAACTTGTAATATTTCATATCAACATGTACATAAATATTAATAATATTTTAAAATGGTAATGAATAATACATATAAAACTTTTTACTATTCTTATAAAAGTTATATTTCCATTTCTTGATATATTTACGATTATTATATTACAATTTTTGACTCTAGAATGTCTATATACAAATATTAATTACAGTATAATTTATAACCAACATTTTCAACTTTTTTAGCAAATAAAATTAAGTAAAAATTTCAACACAAAAAATCATGGCTTCAAATGGCTTTGCTATTTAATATCAGCTATCTTTAAGAACTTCCTTCAAGATTGATCCTGTATTTCTTGCAGGCACAAAATCTGGGAATGTTGGAAGTGTAACGTTTGACAGTAAAAGTGCTGATTGAGTAGAAGAAGAAGAATGTTGTCTACTGTGGCCAGGCCTACTGATAGGCTAAAAAAATTGTCAATAAGTAAATACCTGTATTTTTTAAATTTAATACTTTTTATTAGAATAAAACTTACAGAATTTGAAATTGGCAAAGGTGGTAGTTGTGGTTTTGGCTGAGATTCACTTTCCAAAAATTTAATGAATGCTGATGATAAAGATGTTTCTTGTTCCTAAAAATTAAATATAACAAATTTAAATAGCGCTAACGATGTAAGCTTGCATAAATAGTAATAAAATTTTTGTCTATGACCTTGGTAGGAGTAGGACTGCTATTAATCATTGAGGAAAACCAACTGTTCTTAGCAGAAGAAGTATTCAAACCAGTTTTCTCACGTTCCATTTCATTAAAATCGAGAACATTGGCAAATACGCGTAAAACCGCTGTTTTGTCATTTGGTGGAGATGAAATATAACCAACTAATAGATTTTTAATGAGAAACCTGAAAAAGAAAATGTTTATGCTGCAGTATGAAAATCCAAAAACGTTTTCAAATCGTAAAATCTAATTCATTTTTAATTATTTTATTTTCAATCAGACCATTCATTAGCATTGACTAATTAACAATTAAAACCAAAATCTCAATTAGTAAATAATAATTTCTCAATTATAATAACTAAATTTGAATTACGAATTAGTTATTATTATTTGTTTATTAGTTATAAAAAATTGTTCACCTGTCAACTTTGCCCTCTCCACTTTTCTGTGATTCTTGAATTCTCTGATCAGCAGTTTCTACTAGCTTTGTTAACCGAATGACTGTAAATAAAAATAATAAAATTTGTGTTTGATCAGATAGAAAAATTACTGAATACAGACAAATATATCACAATCATTAATTAAATAAAATGTAATATCAAATCTAAATAACAAAAATTACAAAATAATTCAAGTTTTTACAATTACTGTCAAATTACAATGCTATCAATAACTTTAGAAAATATCTATCTCTTATTTATTTTCACCAGTAAACACAACATCTAATCTAAAAAATATAATAAACTTTTTCTTTTATAGCTTTAGTTGAAATTTATGTAGATATTTTCTTAGTTTTTACATAAAAATACATTTTTTATAAAATAAGTAATAATTGTCACACAAGTACATACTATTAAACAATAACAATAAATTATTTCTTCTAAAGATGCTTAGCAGTATACATAATTGCATTTTGGCACTGTGGATTTGATTTGTCATTTGTTACAAACAGGCTTGCAGATTTTTAAAAGATGAACGTAAGTATAACACAAGTACTGGTCGCTAAAATCAAGACACCAGTACCTGATGTAATACTCACACTCTCCTTTTGCTTATGCATTTAATATTTGGTAATTTGGCTCATGCTGCATTCCTTGCTGTTTTTAGATTCATGCCATCCAAAAAAAATCAAAGCCTATAACTAACTTTTAATAAAATATCCATTTTACTTTGACATGCTTTTGAGTATTATCATGATATCAATTATTAATTTTTAATTTAATCGCAAAGCAAGTAAGTTGAAGTTCAATACTTCTTATTTTTGGAAAACCGTTTTTTTTTTTTTTTTTTTTTTTTTTTTCGAAGAAAATTGAAGCTGTAGATTACATACTGGTTATGAAAAGATTTTCATTTCTCGTCGAATTGTGGTAGTGAGTGGGAAACCCCACGTGGTAATATGAGCCGAAAATTTGCACGCTCACCAGTTACCGCATGAGATTATCTACTCAGACACTACCAAATAATCCTGGGGCTTTTGCTCATTGTACAAATCAGATTAATACGAGACGTCGGCGGCAAAAAGTGATATGTTTTTTAAATATATTGCTTTCTTTTAAGACCTCATTATTTTTCAGTTTGAAAAACTATTGTTAAAAGAATTATTAACGAGATTGTCTATTCAGAAATGAACTAAATTATTCAGTACTTTAGTCTTCTACTATAGAAACTTAATTGTTTCTTTTCGACACTACGCGCGAGGACTTGATTCTACACACGCTCAAACAATCGAGCATGTTTAAAATCTCGTCTGACATGTCGTATCGAAAAATAAAGTTAGATACATTTGCGAGAAAGTGATGTCACCTTCATGTGGTCTCTTGAACTTAGCTTCGCACGGGCGCAAACGTCCACATCAAGCTCGAGTTACTTTCTCGCACTAGTAGCCAAATGTACTATTTAATATTGTTTACTAATATTAGTTTTTCAAATTGAAAAAATAATCGACATACATTGTATTAGGTCATTGTTACATAGAGGGTAAATAAATCCATAGTATTTAAAGTAAACCAAAAAAAAGGCATTTATGTACTCTTGTATTTTTCTATGAGTTAAAAATCTAAAAGTTGGAGGAAAACCAACACCGACGAAATAGCAGAATGGGTGATTATGCGTTTTAATTTTGGCTTTTTTTCATTATTTAGTGAAGTGCAATAGGCAGGCGACAAACCAGTTCGTAACCGGATACCAGCAAGAATCCTGGGCTGTATAAAGAGAATCCCAGAATTACCAGCTGATATTTGACTACGTGACTGGACTATGGTGTGTGTATTGTGTCTGTGCTTCCGCATAATTTTTAGCTATTCATTGGTTTATATGAAATCATTTTAAATTCATGTTTCACATCTCACACTATAAATTAGTCACAGAGAACAACCGTGAATTTCACGTGCAGTTGTGCATTTATATAATTGTTTATTTGTTCTTATTAATATTATTTATTGAACTCAACAACAGAAAATAAACTTGATAGAAGTAAAATAAAATTAATTCGGAAAGAAGATGAAAGACGAAAACATAAATAAAATAAATAATAATAAGAAGATGAAAGACGAAAACATAAATAATAAAAGAAAGAGTTCTGGTAGTTAAATTAGAAGTCAATATTTAGCAAAGAAAAGCTCCAAATTATTAGTATGAATTGAATTACACATTGCATCCTATTTTTAAATTTTATTACAATAACAATCTCATTTGAATATTTTCCAAGCTACTATATAAAGCCTAACATATAAAAGACATGTCTTGTCTTTGGATCGTAGATTTGATACGATTCAGGATCAATTAGTTAAAAAAAAAATAAATCGACGTTCCAAAATTTTAACACTATCCTTGTTAGTATATAAAATTTCTATATATTTGCGAATTAATAACAGTGAGCATTATTATTAATTAGAACTGCACAGTACAAAACATGCAAAAAGATTGAATGAAAGAAAGAAGTGATAAGTGGTATAATTGAGACACGTTCAAAACATTCAACCATACCTTCTTGATTAAGTTGCTCGATTCGCTCTGATTTCTTATTAAGTTGTTCCGTTAATCTTGTTGCTGCTTTCAAACAATCTTGGGCTTCTGATAATTGGCCCTGAAATTATATTAGACTATTAAATTAATAAAAAGCGATGAAACAGCGATTGAGATGATTTCGTATTTATACAGACTTGCAAATAAAGAATCTGCTTTGTAAGTTCATCGTGTCTTCTTGACGATTCGAATAACTGGATTTGTAGTTTTTCTGTTGCAGCTTGAATATCTTTTTCTTTATCTGTTGAGAAAATTCATTCAATAAGTAAACATCCAATAAATATTAAATAAAGACAGAATTAAACAACGAAATACCTCTTTGGAATTGTTCTAACACTAATTGTAAATTGGTAAGAGAAGCCGAATAAGATAATACTTTATCTTCCGTAGCAGATATTTTATTTTGTAATTCATCTCTTTGTTGCACAATCAAAGCGAGTTGCTGTTGGAGGGTTTCAACTTGTTGATTTGCTCTAACACTTACTGAAGTGTACATTGTCGAGCTATTTTTCAACTTTTCCTCGGCTTGCATTAGCTTTATTTCTAGAGTTTTAAGAATTTCTTCAGATTGAAGAGCTTCTTCAGTATGACTTGCTTCTTTTTCAACGAGATGATTTCTCAATCGTTCTATATCTTTTTGTAAAGATGTTTCTCTAGTTTGTAAGTCTGCTAATTGTTCTTGCAAGTACTTAATATTGGATTGGTCTTGTAATATGACTGCTTCCAATGTTTTATTCTTTTCTTCCAATACCATGACCTGCTTACTTAGAAGAGTATGTTCAGCTATACCGCAACGTTCTCCATGATTATTTGTCTCTTCGATATTCTGGATTCTTTGTTTAACGACTTGCAGCTCATTTTGGGTCCATAATAGTTGTGATTCTTTTGCGTCATAAGCAGCTGAATTAGCATCTCTTTCGGCAATTAATTTTTGCGTTTTAATAGTCTGCTCATTAAGTAATTGAGTTAATCTTTGAATTTCAGAATGATATTGGAGACTTTCATTGTGTTTATCTTGAACAAGCTTAATAAGTTCATCTCGTTCACATTTCAATGTATCATAACATGAATTCATTTTTATGATCTCGTTGTCTTTAGAACTTATCAGCTGCGACAAGTTTTCTACTGTTTCTCGAGCCATGAGTGCAGATTCTTTATCTTTTGCTATGATTGCTTTTAAATTTTGTATTTCTTTTGATTGTTCAGCCAATTCACTAATTAAACATGTACGATCTTGGTTGAATGCTTCTGTTCCTGTTGGCGAAGTTTGCTCAATCAGTAAATTTTCGGTATTAACTTCAACATTACATTTTGGTACTAATAATTTTTCGAATTCTGCTTTTAATTTTTTATTTTCACTCTCAAATGTTTTCAATGTATCCATCTCATTTTGGTACCGAGAAATCAATTCTTTTTGAGTATTTATTTCTATTTCTTTCTGCCTTTCAACTAAGTCCAATTGCTGTTTAAGTTCCTCAATTTCTTTATTCGATTTATCGTATTCCTGTTGGAGAATATCCATTTGTATTAATTTGCCTTCTAGTATTCGATTTTCATCTTCTAAAGTCGCAATATAATTTTCATTACACTTCGATTGTGTACCCATAGCTTCAACTGCTTGTTCAACCTTCATAATTTCCAATTGTTTTTCTTCAATTTCTTTTCTCAATTTTTGATTTTCCATGTTAATATTTTCAGTTCTTTGAAGTTCATTCTGTAATTGTTTATTTTGATTTTCACATATCAGCAGTTTCTTTTCCAATTCTTGCAATTGTTTCAAAACGCTGTCTAACTCATTCCGGCTATTATTTATACTCTTTTGCAACAACATTTCATCTAACTCTTTCTTCAACATCAATTTTTCATTTTGAACGTTTTTTAGATTTTGTAATTGATCATTCAACTCATTGTTTATATCTGTTAATGCTGATATCTTTTGCTCTGCTTCATTTAGATTTTTATTAGCAAGCAGAAGCTCTTCTTTGCTACTTTCCAAATCTTGTTGTAATAACGACATTTCTGTATTAAGAAGTTCAATTTTATCCAAGCTTTCATTTTGAGTTTCAGTAAATTGATCTAAGAGTTTGTTGTTTTCTCTGATCAATCGTTCACTATGCAGACTCATTTTCTCATTCTCTGTTTTAATAATTTCTAATTGTTCGATAGTTTGATCTAGTTCGTTTCTCATATTTTTGATATCGTATTCCAAATCATTGTTTTCTTCTCTTGCCTTTTTCAACTCTTCATGTAATTCTCCAAGAGTCGTGCCATCATTCCTGTTAAGATCTGATTCCCGCAGTAGTTTTAGATCAGCTTCAAGCTGTTCCTTTTCTCTTGAGAGGATCTCATTGTCAGCATCCGCCTCATTTTTAGCTTCTTGTGCAATGGACAAAACATTTTCTAAACGTTTATTGTTAGACAAGGCAATCTTAAGTTCGCGTCTGACATTTTCCAAGTCGAGCTTGAGTTCCTCAATAAGTTCGATATTCTCGTCCAAACCTTTACATCTTTCTAAGGATACTCTGAGCTCGCTTTCTAGTACATCTATTCGCCTTCTTAAAGCCGTGTTCTCGTCCAAAGTTATTTGTAATAAGTCACTGGCGTCTTTCGACTCATTATTCTTTAATTTGCTTTCAAGTAAAGCTTCGATTTTGTCTAAATCGACGTGCGATCCTGATTCTTTTATAGCAGCTCTGATAGCTTTCAACTCGGACGTCATTTCCAAGTTGGACTTTCGCAAAGTTTGTATTTCTTCTTGAAGTGATTCGGTTTCTGTTTCAAGACTGGCTACGCGCTCTTCACTCGCTTCTGGTATTGAAGGCAAATTGGACTTGAGGTGCTGAATCTGAAGAAGTAATGATTCCATATTTGCTTGCATGTCTTCGTAATCTACTTGGAGCGACTCGCGCATGTCTTGACTTTCTTTCAACTCGCGACTTTGCTCTGCAAGTTTGCGCTCTAAAGCGTCTTTTTTCCATTGAAGGTCTACATATTTTTGAGCCAAGTTGATGAAAATTGGTTCGTCTCGTTCATTATCGGAAGGCTCAAGTATGACATTTTTCAAGATATCTTTTACTTTGATTATTTCATCTTGCACACCAATGTAGTCTTCAAAATTCAAGTCCGTCTCGATCTCCTTATCTTCTTTTAGCAAAATTGTATCAATTTGTTCGCGTTCTTGAAGAAAATTAGCCTCGGTCTCTTTATCTTCTTTTATCAAAATAATTTCAGTTTCTTTGTCTACTTTTTGATGAACCAATGTTTGGACCGAACAATCTACAGAATCTTTTTCTAGTGCATTTGAAAACTTGAATTGTGACATCTCTTGTTTGAGATTTTCAATAGTAGACAAAGCTTGGTTGTAGTCTACGTAAAGTTGCTCGTATGCTTTTTGGAGAGATTGGTGTTTCTTTTGTAAGTCTTCTTTCAGCGTCAAAATGCGATCTGAAAAGTAAAGCGTTAAACTCGAAATCATTCAAAGTTCAATTTTACCAGATTATCACTTACCAATGGATTCAGCATTCTGTACGTCCAACTCTTCCATACTTGCTGTGAGGCTCCGATTTTCCTCCTCGAGCTCTGCAATTCTTCGATGCAGCTCGATCTGCCGATCATTTTCGCTGGCCTTCTTGCCTTTAGCGTCAAATCTTCCTGCATCCGATTTTTCCTTTTCCTCTTCGCAAAATTGCTGATTTTCATTTTCCAAAGCTAAGAGTGCTGATCTAATTAGATCGTACTGTTCGGATGATGCGAGTTTCGATATAGCCGTTCGAAAATCGCTGACCAAAGTCAACTCGTCTTGTTGCAGACGCTTGGTATTTCTTTCGACTTCACGGCTCTGTAATTCATATTAAAGTTATGATTACACTAACAGATTTCTTTGATTGAAATAAATGCAATTCTATTTTAACAAAGCGTGCTTCGAATCAAACAGAAATAGCCATTAGATCGCTAACGAATATTCGTAAAAAAATAAATAAATAAATAATCAAACAAACATAAGAGAGAAAAGGACGAAGTAAAGACAATCATGCGCGATGCAGAATGCGAGTACATACCTTTTCTCCCATTTGGATAATGCGATTCATCACATCCTGTTTCGCACGTAAGAGTTCTGCCTTCTGCAAAAGTCCTTCGTCTTTGAGATGTAAGTCATCCTTCACATTTGACGAGTTCAGCTGTAAACAAGTCATTTCGAGCATTAGAAATCTAACTATGCAGCAGAAATATCAAAACAAGGCGCAATGACATTTTTTATTTCTTCTGCGAGCTCATAGCGAATGTATTATTATAAAATTGCAATCAGACCAGTGATGTGTTCGTGAATGTACAATTGACGCTAGGGTGCTTTTAAACTGTTTTCGATGGATTATCCTATGAAAAACAAAAAAATATCCACGCCGAGAGTAGACAATGATGTTACCATGAGCGTTTGTACGCGATTGAGTTCTGCTTCCAAATCGCGGATCTTCACGGTGGCTTGGTCCAGTTGGTTCTGTAGCAGTTTAGTCTGGGCCTGTGCTTTAGTTTCGCGACTCCTGGAAGCCGGCGGCGGGTCCCAAAAGAAAGCACCGGCGTCCTCATCTTGTGAGCCGTTGTTCTTCTGCAAAAACAAGCACGATTGACACATCAGTTCGAGAAAGAGAGAGAGAGAGAGAGAGAGAGAGAGAGAGAGAGAGAGAGAGAGAGAGAGAGAGAGAGAGAGAGAGAGAGTTACGAGGCGTGAAGGAGACGCATAGAACAGAGAGAGAGAGAGAGAGAGAGAGAGTGCAAAAAGCTCGGTCGATCGTATGTACGTACGTAGAATAGGCAAAAAACGTCTGGCAGCAAAAAGAGGGAGAGGCATGTTGACGAGTTGCGCGGATGACGAAAAAAGAGGGAAAAAGGTAAAACCGTCAAGGCTGCACAATTGCATAAACGTTATTCTTAGTTTTAAGGACTCGGCCGCTTGCATGCACAGCGTGCCGGCAATTGGAGGTTATAAACTTGGAAAAGCGACAACGCAGCAGGATGCGAGCGCCCAGCGCTGGCAGGCCTATAATTAGCATGAGTCGTCGAGAGTATTGTTATGAGGCCTCTCTGCCTTTACATAAGAATCTGCCGCGTAGCATCGTGGACAATGCACCCGTGCAGCTCGCGCGAGCCACGACATCGCGCATCTCCATGCGTACGGGCGCAACGCCATGCACGCAGGATCTAACCATTGGTTGCCCAATACCGATCAATGTCAAGTTGGCCGTACATCTAATCGATACACTTGCACGGCGTGCCAGAGGTCTGCGTTCTATCGGCCCCAATGAAATACTCGAAATGCTAAGCAGTGCATCGTTTGGCGAAAGACACGAATAAATGACAATATGAAAGTTGGAATGGGTGCTGTGCAGGCCAGCCAGAGGAAGCGGAGAACGCGATAGGTAGTTTTGGGTGAGCTATAACGATAAGGATCTGTCGCTATTGCATGCACGCACAAAAGGCCCGCCGTGCTCGACGGACGACGAGAGGCAGAAAGACCATCGATCGGTTATCGGATCGCCTGAAACCATCGGACTGACTGCTTAAATTGCCCGTTCGCCTCTTTCCTCTCATTGTCATTCACGCGGGCTACGTAAACGCGCGACTATTCGATTCCGAGTGTTGACAAAAGAAGCGACAGGGGCTGGAAAACGACGCGAGGCAGGGAGAGAGTCCGGTCCAAAGGAACGAAACGATGCCAATGAATATGCAAGGAGGGAGGCCTGCGCGCGCGCGCGCGATGGGTCAGGTCGCCGGGCATAATACGTCGTTTGACTTGCATGTGTCAAGCTGGATGGCGAACGCGCGGCGTCGACCAAGGACAAGCCCCGGGCCCGTGTTTCTGCGCACGCAGCTGGTGCTCGCCGGCGAGGCCGATCGCGAGCGCTATCTCTCAGCATCCATCGGCATATCTCGCATCGATACGCGCGCATTATGCATCCTGCTTTCGGCCGAGTTGCGCGACGAACCAGACCGAATTGGAAGATCGCTGGCGCGCAGCTGCAGCGCGTCGATTAGCCTTCACAGGTAAAACGCGGCTCCGGCCGATAACGAGCGTGAGAACGGAAGCTTTTTATCGAAACCAGTTAGAAAAAGGAGACGGCCGCGAGTTAAGATTAGCGCCTCGTTATGCGTGCGCGCGATAAGCGCGACGCGAGCGCCCTGCATTTCTTTCGATCGTCATTTGCCATTTCCGAAGCGAGCGTAACGCTGCGATACGCGCGCCAAACGAGTCTTCCTCCTTTTCGCCATTGTAGCGCTCTCGCGCCGCGCCATGTTCGCGCGGGCGCACGGCGCACGCACGCCTCTCGGTACTTCGTGTCGACGCAGACGTTGCGTCTGCAATGAAACGGACCCGTCCGAATGCTCTCCGATTCCATGTGCGACGGCGTTTTTTTGTTCGAAGACGAACCAAACAGCGACGGACGCGATCAATTTATAGAAAGATAATTACAAACCCAAGCTTTTTCTTCATTCCTGTCGGATAAAAATACATCTAATGACATTCTATCGTCTGCATAACGTTTCCATTTATGATAATTCGATTCATTGTTCAATGAAAAAACTTAAACATCATCGACATTTTTCTATGATTGGCTCAACGTTCTCTGGAAAGACCGCGATTGTTCCACCGATTTTTCACAGATTTATACGTGTCATGCATAATCTCACTGGTATATATGCAGCTTACTTATGAAGGAAAGGCCAAAATGAAGCTTACATTGAAAACAACGAAACAACGCACAGAACAAAGACAACGAAAGAAGGATATTTCTCTGTGTAGTTCTGTTTTACTGTTGGTTGAGCAGTAAACGATATTGAATGAAACGATAAGGGAGGCACGAAGAATTACAACCGTGATGGTAGAGAGACACGAAAGAATAGTAGATGGTAAAAGCAGGCGAGGTTTTCGACGTTTGGCCTTTTGTCACACATCTTGGGTGCGTAGCTTGCGAAAGAGCCTTTGAATAATAACCGAAGAGCGAGTGAACGAGCCGAGTGGGTTATTGGCACGAGGCACATAAAAGCCACAGCAGCAGCACGACCGAGTCGAATCGTCGCTGCCGCCGGTAGGAAAAAAATGAGAAAGAAACGCACGAGCAAAAAGGTGTTGCGCATTAATTGTCGGCGTATCAATGCCGAGCCACGAACGCGCGGACAGCGGTCAAAGGAGGTCGCGATAAGGAACTGCTCCAACGCGAGCGACGCCCAGGCCGTACGCCGCCAGGTGTGTATACCCATCATACCCGCACGTAGCAGCGAAGCCCATTGTTCTTTCGGAGCGCTGTGCAAGTAATATCGGCGATATGCGAGCGCAACGTCACTCGCGCACACATGTGTTCCGGGCACTCGCACTTCTCTTTTTTTTTTTTTTTCTTTCTGTTGGTTCCTTCTAGGCGTGCGACACACATTCGCCTGCGCGCGCAGCCTGCACACGCGCACCGTGCGCCAGATAAGCGCATTATGCGTAAACACGTGTGCGTACTCGTCGCACACCGCCCGCGTTCGCTTTCAAATTCACTTTTCTTCGTTCTACCTAGTTGATGCCGCGGCGCTCGCGCTTCGTTTTCTTTTCCTCCAGTTTTCCATAACCACGGGCGAGCCTCCAATTTCGCTCTTAAAATTAGCGACTCTGGCTCGCGCCTCTTTACTTTTTTCGGTTTCAATTGATTTCTTTGTTCTGCGCTGCGGCGGCAGCGGCATGAAACGATTCCATGACATAATTTTTGCACTCGCGAGCGCTCTTTGCAACTTGTCGCGGCCGGTTGGTCAATACTTTACGAAAGTTGAGTTATTCGCCGCTCAGCAGTTCTCATTCACCTGCGCGCTAAATGCCGTAGACTACTTTTTCTTTTATTTTTTCTTTTTTTTCCATTAATTGCTTCCAATATTTTTCTGTGCTGCATATAGCAAAAACGCGCGTCCATCGTGGCAGCGCTATCCGAGATACTGTACACGCTTTCTATGAATTAATGAAACTGTTATAAATTTATTTCGTTCTAAAATGAACGGAATGCAGTAAGACAAAATGTCAAGTTGCGCTACAAAAGCAACTGGCAATATTCGATAACTCACCAAATTGCCACGATCATCTTGATTCTCTGCATTGCGTAACAAGATCATAATTCTAATCCGACGCAAGGTTTCACACGCAGTGTTCAAATCTCGTAACGAGAAAACGGAAAGATTTGCGACGGATGGGCTATCATCGCGTATATATAGCGTATAGAAATCATCACCGTTTGTTCACATGTGCCGGTTTACCCAACGTTCCTCATTTTTTTTCGTCACTTCCTGGCTTATAGGTATGCCTATGTCGTGACATTTCGCAAAATTGCGTCGTTATAACGTAGTAGTCAGTCATACATATCTACGACCGACGGCTTTTACTTGTACTTCAGTGGAGGCACAGATTTACTTGTACGTAGACGTGAAGAAACTATGCACACACGTTATGCAAAAAAAAATTATCCAAGATATGTTGAACGAAATCCCATCTATTCTGAATGAAATTGTGATATGTAAGGTCGTCAGAACAATTTATTGCTAATATAATAAAGCATAACCTGGAAATCTGCATGACCCATTTTGATACAAGTAATTGTCATGCCGTGAGGTAACTCTGCCAATTTGAAAACGTAATCCCATTTGGAAAAAAATAATGTTTCATTATTACTTAAGTACATATCGATGGATTTAATCAGTGGCTGTTGACTACTTTACGAATGTACAGGCCAGTCTAATCTACTGTTAGACAAACGTTGAGATTGCACTACTACTCGGAGAGAGCTAATAAGAATAATAATGGCAGAATGGATCCTATATAGAATGTAAGTTAGGTATCGCATAGAAAAGACAGCTTATCTTTGTATTTTATTCGAACGCGCAGAGAAAAGAAAAAAGGCTTGCCTGAAAATGTTATCTAAATAAACACATCCGAAGAAGCAAATAGGCCATCGTTTTTCACTTGTCCGGTCTGCTTGGAACGACTTAGACTTGTTCAAAGGTATTTAAAGTTTACCGAAGCTCGGAGAGAAAGCTCGTACGTACGTGACCGGCGGCCGAAACAAAAGGCAATCTCGTTACCCGAGGAATCATCGGAAACCGAGATCTGGACAGAAGTGGAATGGCCGGGAAGAAAGTTACTTCAAAGCTTTGGGAAAACGGTTGGTCGAGTTGGCAGCGACGCGATCTTCGGCGCTCGGTTATGAAACGAGCCAACTATATCGCGGTGCATGCCCATGTCCTTTCATACGCGTCACGTATCACTCGAATCCTCCTGCGTGGAGTGAAAGCAGCGGCGCGCGCTCGGAACGAACTTGGCAGCCTTAACGAATTATTTGGAAGGCTCGCGGGGAGCAACAAGTGCCTCTGCGCTGATGGGCGTGCTGCAGCAGCCGAGCTCTCGAGTTGCGCACACACGGGTACGGGGCGGCTGCTATTGCGGCCCCGAACTCGGAGATACGCTACAATAATTGACGACATCGTCTTTCCGTCTGATTGTCCGTGCACACACACAAGCGCGCGCGAGCGCGTCACACGAGCGTTTCGCAGACCGCCGAGAGCTCCAAGCGTATACATATGCACGCA